CCTGCGCGCTTTTAACGCGACCGCTCAGGCAGAGGCACCAGAGGAGGCCCTCCGCAAGGAGTCGGCGCGGTGCGCGATGCGGATCTCAAGCGCAAGCAGGCCTTCACCGCGCTGCAAAGGTGCCAGGAGAACCTCGAGCGGGCGGTGGAGAAGGAGGCCGACGCGGCGCTGGTGCTGGCGGCCGCCCAGGAGGCCATGCGCATGGCGGTCCAGGCTCTCGCGAGCAAGTGCGACGTCCAGCCGCAGGCCAGGGCCTCTGCTGGTGTCAGTGGCGAGGGCAGCCCCTTGTTGGACATCCAGTGGGGCGAGTCCTTCTGTGCTTGCCTGGACAAGCTCGAGGCGGAGCCCGCGGAGTTGGAAGCCTTGCGGCGCTTGGAGTCGGATCTCCAGAGCACGAAGCGGGACCTCGGCGCCAATAGTTCCGAGGTGCAGCAGTGGCTCACGAAGGCCAAGCAGTTGCAGGTGCAGGTCCAGACCAGGATGGCCAAGAAGAGGCGGCCGACGACGGCGTGGAGGCAGGGGGCGGTGGCGCAGCGGCCGCGGCGCCCACGCCGGCGGCGCCCAGGCGCGGCAGCCGGCAGTGCCGGCGCCGCGGCGGCGGCCCCGGCCGCAGCCACCGCGGCCCCCGCAGGCGATGCAGCCGCGGAGGAGGCGCGGCAGCAGCGCATCAAGGGGGCCGCGGCCAAGCTCACCGCCGCCAAGGTTGAGGCCGCCAAGGCCGCCAGCGAGGCGGTCAAGAAGAAGTGGCGAATGAATGGAGCTGCGTCTGGTGGGGCTGCGGAAGTAGGCTCTTTTTCGGACAGTGCTAGGGGTGCTGGGTCACTCGGACCGAGCGACGTGTGCGCTGATATTTTCTTCGGTAATGTCACGGCTGTGGGAAAAGAGGCTTGGGCGTTTTTGACAGGGGATGATTGTCGGATGTGCCGTCATCCTGTGTTTGCTGAAACGCGCGTTCCCTCCAGCGCGGATAGGACTTTCTGGAAGCACGAGGCTCAGAAGGCCTTATAGGGCCAACGACGGCGGTGAATGGGTGCAGTCCATGGGGGCGGATGACGCCGCCATGCGCGGGCTGGCTGCCACCGACGCATGCGCAGTTGACGGGCTCGCTGCCATTATTTTGCATCAGCGGGGGCTCTCAGTTATGGCGATCGCCTTCTACGGCTTCTGTTCGGGCGGTTTCTCTGGCCGGAACTCGAGGGGGGGGGGGCCAGGCTGGGGGCTTTCGTCGCTCAGCTGCGGATTCCCTGGCTTATCATCGGCGACTACAGTATTCGACAGGAGGACCTGCTTGCCTCAGGGTTCCTTGATCATATTGGAGGCTCTGTTCTCGCCCCAGAGGGAGTTTTACATGCGTGCGAATCTGGTCGTGGAGGCATGTTGGACTGCGTTATCGCGGGATCTTCGCGCGCGCCTTATCTGGTTCACGCCGAGCCAGTGCTGGCCGTGCCGTGGCAACCTCTTTGCGGTGCCCACTTGCGTTTGAGGAGCACTGGGGCGCAACTGTTCTGTTGGGAGCTGGTGCTGCCAGCGGGGGCGCCGCAGGCGCCGAGGCCAACGGCGGCGAGTGAAGCAGAGTCTCGCGCGAGAAAAAATGTTGAGGCCACGCAGTCCTTTGGGGGTCTCGACGAGCCACCGAGAGCCCCGCAGTCCTGTGGGGACGGAGAGTCGGACGGGGAGCTCGATTGCGAACTTGCCGGCGCCCGTGCCTCTTTCGATGCCATCGGGCAGGTGGCTGACGCCGACGTTGCCCGCAGCCAACCGCGGCCGGAAGAGGCCCTGGTGGCGGATGGCGCACCTCGAGCTGGTCCTGTTGTCGGCGAACAACATGTTGGATCTTTCGACCCCCCGAACCCACCCTCGGCAGGCTTAGGAACTGACCTCTCCTCTTCCCCCCCCCCTCCGACCTGTGGCGCTCCTGTCGGCGCAGCGTCGGCTTCGCCAGCGAGCGCGCGCTTCAGAGCAGGTCTGGCCAGTGATCGGTGATTGTGCAGCCTTCCGTGCGGGGGCAGCTCAGGGGTTGCGTCTTGGGGCTATGCGTGCTTCCTGGGTGTCTACGGTGGAGGCGGCCATTCTGCGGCGTCACGGGGTGGCCCAAGGAGGGCTTGCTACTCGAGGGAAGGGGTCGTGTTCCCAGGTTGTCGAGATGAAAGCGCCCGAGAAGGTTCGAGATCACCCCTCCACAATCAGGTGGCGTCCTGGTGGGGGCGTATACACATTTTTATATTCAAGCCATCTAGACATCGTGAACGAAGGGCTGGGCTCGTCCAACAAGCCCAGCTTGTTGCTTCAGCCGCGGCCCTAGCCAGTGATCAGCCAGACGCTGTGCGCGTTCCGCTCGTTGACGCATCTGCGCAAGCCAGCGGGCAGCGGGCGGGCTGGACCGACTGGCAGGCCAAACTGCTCAGCTTAGCAGATCTCTCCGACGAGGTTGTTTTCAAGATAGCCGCCGCTGCCAAGTGGGCAGCCGCCAGGTCACGTCGTCGCGCCGCGTCGGGGTCGCTAGAGCAACTCAAAGAGTGGGTGATGGCTCCTGGGGCTTCTGGGATCCTCCACGATGCCCTTAAGAAAGCCCCCCCCTGTCCCCGATGAAATCCGCACCCGAGGTAACACCCTTCACCATCCCATTGATATTGTCGACCACAAGGCCCAACGCTGGCACAAGTTGTGGAGTCCATCCGTTGTCGCCCTGTCCGCGGCGCAGGACTTGTTTCGGAGTTCGGCGTGCAGCAGCGACCGAGGAGGTCGAGCCGATGAACCTTGAGTCCGCGTGCTGCGCCCTGCGCCGCGCGAAGGCCGAAGCAGGGCGCGGGGTCGACGAACTCGCGCCCCTCGACATGGAACGGCTTCCTAGGGAAGGGCTCCAGGATCTCGCTGGTTTGTTTCAGGCCTGCGCGGCTTGCCTGGCGCGGCCTTGGCAAGCCCTCTTGGTTCTTGGGCGCCTTGGGGAGGAAGGACTGGGTGGGTGGGGCCCGTGCCATTGGCCTCGGGTCCATGTTTTCTCGGGCCTGGTCTCTCGCCCGCGAGGAAGTTACTCGCGCCTAGTCGCAGGGCGCCCGGCCCGGCTGGGGCGCGGCGGCAACGTGCAATTCCGCATTTCGCGAGTTTTTTTTTTTTTTTTTTTTTTTTTTTTTTTTTTTTTTTTTTTTTTTTTTTTTTTTTTTTTTTTTTTATTCCTTTCTTTCTTTTTTTTCTTTCTTTTCCAAGCGCCCTTCGCGACGAAGGGCCGCCACGTCTTCGTTTTTGGCTTGGCGAGGGCCTCCTTGACATTGCGGGGTTTTATGGCGCTATGGATTGGGCTGCCCTCGTGAGATCGGCTCTCAAGTTGAGGTTCCCACCGGTTGTGTTGGCGTTAGAATGCCAGATGGATTCTGCTCCTCGCGTCCTTTCTCAGATGGGATTGTGTTCGCCTGTTTTCCAGAAGTCGCAGAACATCGTTCAGGGTCTTCGTAGTGGAGCCAGGTCTGGGAGATGTCTTGTGTACTTTAGCCTTCGGAAGCTGACGGTGGCTCGCCCGTGCGTGTCGCGTCGCATCTAGGCCGATGATGTGATTGAGCATACGGCAGGTGCTCGGGCTTTGGTCAGAGCTAGGTTGTATAAGGGGACCCTCGCCACGTGTCGCACGCTGGCCGAGCGCGGTCTCCAAGTGGCGAGTAAGAGTGTTGTCTCGTGCCCGCATGCTGCCGATGGCCGACGCATTGCTCGACGCCTCAAGCGGGGGGGGGCCCTGAGGTTCAGGCGGGGCTGCAAGCCGCTTATCTTGGGATTGATCTTGGGGCTGGACGGCTCGATGGAGCCGCCAGGGCCAAAATGATCTCCCAGGCCAAGAGCATGAGCACCAAGATCAAGGGGCATGCTCGGGCCTCCAAGAAGCATGTAAGCATGGGGGCTTATTGAGCGCGCGGCCTCGCAGGCTGCCGGGGCCTACGGGCGCCAGGTTACGGCAGCATTTGGCACGTTTCGTTTGCAGTGTAGGCGGCGCCTTGGGCATTTCTTATCTTCGGCCAAATGTGGGCGGTGCCTTGCTACCCTCCTCGATCCCCGCGCTGACGGGCACGACCCAGCCTATCGATCACCGCGCGAGGCTCTTCGACATTGGCTCCAGACGTGGTTGCAGGAGCCCAGTATTCGCGTGCCAGCTTGTGCGGCTTAGCCCGACGTTGTCCAGCAGCTGCGCGCTCTAGCACTGAGGCAGGTATCACAGCGCGTGCGTGGGCCTATCTCCATGATCGTCGCTTACTTGCTCGGGTTCGGGTGGGGCCCGATGTCGCCCGCGCATGGGGGCGGGCCCACCGATGATGAAGGGTCTGGTGTCTCTTGGTTTTTCCCTGCGACGAGATTGCCGAGTCTGAGGGTATCAGTGGGTTGTTAGCCGATGTCGAGGAGACGATGCGGAAAAAGCCATGGGCCGACGCCAGTTTGCATATTTGTGGTGAGGGCCTCCAGCAGGGGGTCGATAATGTGGAACGGATTCCAGGAGGTAGTCGTCTCGCGGAGACCCTGCGTGCCATCGCGGTTGGCGGCGAGTGGCCGGTGTCGCGTATTTGCGAGAATCCCCGCGCTACCGACATCAACTTACATCAACTTATGTCCAAGGTGCGGCCTTGAACCTGAATCTTTCCTCCATAGGCACTGGTTGTGGATGAAAAACAACGGGTATACAATCTACACCGACGCCCAGCATTTCCCCCCTCGGGCCCTGACGGGCCAGGACAGCGAACCTTGTTTTTGGTTTCGAGGTCTCATCCCGAGCACCTGGGCCCAGGTGCCTGCATCAGCGTGCGAGGAGGCCCGGCAGGTCTACGCGGACGGCCAGGCGGTCTCCAGCGAGCCAGTTCTAGGACTAGGGGTGTTCGACGATCCCATGTTTGTCTTTGGCGACTCCAGTGGTGTGCCGACTCTTCAGATGTTCGTCTTCGTCGGTGTGGAGTCTCGGCGGTGGTACTTGGGAGTTATGCACCTATTGCTGTGAAGGCGGCGCTGCGCGGTGGGCCCCCAGGGGCCCCTTCAGACGATTTCTCGTAGTGAAGTTCGGGGTTCCTTCTGGCCATTCGTCGCGCTCGTGGGCCTATGGTGTATGCTACCGATTACAGCGAGGTCTCGGATGGGTGGTATCAAGGGTTCCATGTGGAGCCCCGTGGATCCAACGCGCCAGCTTGGATTTTGATCCGTGATGAACTTCGGGATTAACTTCGGTCTCAGTGTCGCGACCCGTCGCAGATTGTGGTGTTTAAAGTCCCATCACATGTGGGGGCCGAGAGCTTCTTCGATGGCGGTATCAGTCCATTCTGTTGCTCGGCAAGTCAGTTGCCGATCATCTAGCAGGGGCTGGAGCCGAACTCACTTGAGTAGATCCAGTCACGCGTGGAAGGGTCATGAGGACAGAGGTTAATGCTTCCTTTGTCAGGAAACGTCTGCTTCGGTCGACGCTCGATAGAATGGCGGCGAGGACGACGACCGCCAGCGGAGTGTCTACCAGGCCGCCTCCCTCTCCTTCCCCCTCCTCTCTTGCCTTCTTCTAGCCTTCTTCCAGCCGGATCACAATTCAGTGCGTGTGGCAGGAGGTGTGGCAGATGTGGGGGGGCACGCGTCTTTGGACACTCTCGACGAGTGGAGGGCCTCTCCCTGTTTCTCTTTAGAGCACGTCGATTCCGATGTTTCTCGTCTGCCGAAGGGGGTTTAGAGTACACCTGGGGGGCGGTTGGGTCCGCCCTACTCACTCTGTCCTCTACTCCTCCCTCTCCGACACGTGGATATGTGGTTCTTGTGGTTATTACGGTCGGGACCAGTCTAGACAACCGCTCGCCCAGCCGCGCGCCTCCGAGATGAGTGGTTCTCGGAGGGAGTATCTCGACAATTTCGTGACTGGTAAGCCGCCCAAGCCGACCAGGGTTCAGGCGCGCAACAAGGGTGCTGGGCCTGCCGCCTAGCCAGTCCGTCGAATTTCGCATCGCGAAGGGGCCAATTCCAATTCCTCCTCCTCCTGCTCCTCCTCCTCCTTCCCTCCTCCTCCTCTTCCTCCTCCTCCCCCTCCTCCTCCTTCTCCTCCTCCTCTTGCTCCTCTACTTTTTGCTCCTCCTCCTGCTTCTCCTCTTGCTTCTCCTGCTGCTGCTCGCCTTGCTCCTTCTGCTCATCCTCCTCCTGCTCATCCTGTTGCTTCTCCTTTGCCTCCTTTTTGTTTTCCGATCTCTTTTTCCATGTTTCTAATCTTGATGCAGCTGGAAGAGGAGGGGGTGGAGGCGGGCCGCGCACCGACAGCAGGAATAGAGATTATTTCGCCACCTCGTCGTAGTCCTCCTCTTCCTCCTCCTCCTCTTCCTCCTCCTCCTCCTTCCCGCCCCCTATCCTGGTGGGAGGGAGGGACATAGGTAGGGAATTTCAAGGCTTACCGCCGTTACATGAGTGATTTTAGTGCAAACGTGAAATGGGCCACTGCACACATTTTCTGTTTATTTTCCTGCGTAACTCAGAGTGGAACGGACACCGCAGACCGCCAGCTTATACCTTGTGGAACCAATCGCGGGTGGTCCGACCTGAGCTGCTGTGGGGAGAAGGCGGAGGGGAACCTGGGGGAGACGATGGGAAGAAGAGAGTGGGGTGGGGCTGTGCGGAGTGGAGAGGGGGAAGCTGAGAGGACGGGAGGGACATGGATCAACGGGGGAGGGGAAGGGAGAGAGGGATATAAGAGAGAGAGAGAGAGAGGATGGGAGCTGAGAGGAGGGAGGTAAAGGGGACGGGGGGGAGGGGAGATCGGGGGGGGGAGGGGGGAGGGTGGGAGGGTGGGCGGAGGCAATGGAAGCGGGGCGGCGTGGCCGCGTTTCCCGCAAGGCCGTGGAGCAGCAGGAGGACGAAGAACACGAGGCCTTCAACGCCTCGGCATTCGACAACGTGGGGTGCCGTGACGGCTGCGACCGGCGGCAAAGCCACCGTCCCTCCCTGCAGGTCGAGGCTGCCTCTCGGTGTTTCCGGTGCCGCCCGAGCTGTTCGTCAGTCCGTGAGGTTTTGAGTGCGGCAGGTTCGCGTCGTTTCGACGCGGCGTCGACTCCGGCGCGGGCGCTCAAGGGTGAGCGGCAGCGGCGGCCTGAGATCGGCTGGCATCGAACGAACAACGCTAGCGTGAAGTTGCCATCGGTCGAGGCTGAACGACCCACGCGGTGTCACACACAATCGTCCGGTTCGTCACGACATCCCTCCGAATCCTACTTTCTGCGTGGTTCATGCGGGCTCCAAGAAGGGTGGGCAGCGTTCGGGTCGGCCGAGTCTCTCGAGCTGATGATCAGGAGGCCCGAGTACTGACCTGACTCATGGTGGCCCTGACGCGGCAGTTCCACGGCGGTTTGATCAGGTCAGTGCTTGGGCGGCTCTGGTGGCACTCAAGCAACTCCCTGGGAGCCCGGCGCTGACCAGACTGTTTGTTATGTTCCTTATCTCAACAGGGGAGGAGGATGAGCAGGAGGAACTGGAGGACGAGGAGGAGGTGGAGGAGGAAGAGGAGGAGAATGA